TGGCAGAGAGGCAGGCAGAGAGAGAGGAGGAAGCAGGCTCCCTGCTGAGCAGAGAGCCCGACGCGGGGCTCGATCCCAGGACTCTGAGATCATGACCTGAGCAGAAGGCAGCGGCTTAACCCACTGAGCCACCCAGGCGCCCCTCTTTCACACTTCTTTAACTTTTTCTTTTTTTCATCATAATCATTATCCAGTGTTTAGGGCACAGCCCTAATTTCTATCCTTACATTCTAATATGTTTTTAAAAAATGTCAAAACACACGCACACACACAGTGTGTGTGTGTGTGTGTGTGTGTGTATAAAATATATATATGATATATATATTTTATATATATATATATTTTAAAGAGATAGAGATAAAGATAGATATTATGGATTATATATATTAAATTGACTCATTTTTTTAAACAAAGCAAACAAAAAAAAAACTTTGTTTTTTGTTTTTTTTTTAATCTCCCTTAGGCAATTCGAAGTTTTCAGGTCGCCCTTCACATCTATCCAATGAACCCTGAAATATGGAAAGAAGACCTTTCTTGGGCAAGAACGCTCCAGGAGCAGCAGAAGGTTGCACAGAAGATTAAAAAGTGTGACGCATCAGTGGAAGTAACCCATTTCTCACCAAAGTCAATTCCTGACTATGACTTTGAAAGTGATGAGATTGTTGCCGTTTGTGCGGCGATTGCTGAGAAACAGAAGACGGTTCCAGCAAATAAAACAATGGTTATTGTGTCGGCTTCTGGGACTGTAGAGACAGTCACTGAGAAGGAAGATGGGGCTACACCACCAGATGGCTCTGTTTTTATCAAAGCCCGATGAAGTAGCGGGAATCCTTTGAATCTGTCTTTTTGATTGCCACTTAAAATTTTAGGTGTAGGGACATTAACTGTGGAGGAACAGAGCAAAACTCCTGTTTGTAAAATGAGTTTTGCAGATGAGGCATATAAAAACCAAATGGTAGAATGACGGTATAGTGTTTGGACTACGCTTTGATAAGTTATGATTTAAATTTCTTAAGATTAGAATTCTGAGTACAGTGGCTTTTGATTCATAAACTTAATTTAATCCCAAAATATAAATGAGTGCATTTTAAAGACACAACTTGAAAAGTGAATTCTTTGATAGTGAATCACTTGATGGCCAGTGTCATAAAAATGCTGACTTGTTGATTTTGTTCCGTGATAAAGGAAGTCAGTGATTTCTTTTCCTCCTTTTAGAAATATACTGCTCTTGCTATTCACTCTTCTGTTTTTCTGGTTGCATTAGAGTAAGTCTGTCACAAAGCTCTAATATTTTTGACATTCAGTTTGATTCAAAGTTGTCATTTGGTTATATGTGGAATCTTTGAAAGTTTGGCTGAAAATGCATGCAAATATCTACATTCTAAACATTTTCCCAAGTTTCTCTTAATTCTGATTTGAGCTTTTATTTTGGCTTTAAGATTATTATGACAATAGTATTTGCCTCCTTCAGTATTAGATATGTGAAATACTGATACATGTCAGAATGATGGTTTTATTTTTTTAGTTGTTGAAGTGGATAGTGTTCCTTTCCACAGGTGGGTCTTATTTCAGATGTGCATTTTTTAAAAAATGAATGGTTTTTATAGATGTGTCATAACAAATTGTCCTACTGCATTGTCCCAGTCAAAAGCAATATTTTCTTCTTATTTTTAAAAGCTTAAAGATTTGGAAAATAATTTATCTTTTGCTTATAACTTTCCAGCTGATGGTTTAGAAGTCCTTTTCTAGATAACTTTTTTGGAACTACTCAATTAAATTACAATTACAATTTTAAATAACAGATTATATCTTTCTAAAAATAAAAAAGTAAGGCTGTTAATGAGTGCCAGTGAATGAATAATTTAGGCACAACATACATAGAAACTGAAACATGACTGTGGTACAATACGTGAGTAGAGAAGGCTATATTTAAAGAAATATTTCATTGAAAGGCCACAGTCATATTCACAAATCAAAACCGCCATTGTTAATGTGAATTATTATTTTTATACTACATATATTGTAGTGCAATTATATAGACTACTGGGTACTGTTACTTCTGACACTCAGGAAGGTATTATTGCTATAAAATTAATTTTATCCTTGTTAGAAATGAAAGTAAGCTATTTTGTTTTAAAGAATCTTACCCTGTTGAAGCATGTGTGTAATGGTCATTTTTCTGAGATGATTTTTTTTTTCCTTTTTAAATTTTTATTTGAATTCTAGTTAGTTGACATACAGTGTGATACTGGTTTCAGGAGTAGAATTTAGTGATTCATCACTTCCATACAACACCCAGTGCTCATCATAACAAATGCCCTCCTTAATGCCCATCACCCATCTAGCCCATCTCCTACCCTCTGAGATGATTTAAAAAGTTTTTCCTTTAGTGGAATGCTTACCTCTTTTTTTTCAGAGTATTGTATTTTTCCCCCAAAGTTACATTGCAAAGTTAGCTCTGGTTAGAGAGGTTAGTTTTAGACGAATCCAAAGAACAAATACTAATTACATTTTATTTCATTTAATAAAAGATATTCTCCCAGGGTAGATACTTGGGCATCTACAGAAGTGAGCATTCACCCTTTGGTATGCTGTTTTGAGTATTGGGCTTTTGTTTATCATGTAATTTGTAAATAAATAGTTTTTTCCTTCGTTTTAAAGATTTGCCTCTTTGTGTTGTTAGCTTTTGAAAAATTAGGTTGATTTGTTTAATTTCTTTGTTATGTGGGAATAAAATATGTAAAACACCTTGGATGGAGTCTTGCATAGGATGTCCTCAGTAAATGTTAGCTATTTCTGTGAAGAACTTGACTTAGTTTGGAGATATTTAACCTGTTTCTGAGTTTAAGAAAGTAGGAGAATTTTGTAATCTTTATCTGAAAGTGAAGAGTCACTACTTTTAATATTTTAGAACAGATGGTTATCAGTTGGGGTTATTCTTGTCATAAAGTCAGTCCTAAAAGAGGCAAGACCCAGGATGGAGGGCATGTAGCTACGATTCTGTTAAAGAACCTAGTCTTTTCCTGTATTCATATCAGTGGGACAGATTTGTCTTTTCCTTACTCAGATATAAGACATAAATTGGAAGACATAAAATGGAGGGAAAAGGAATAATGAATTATGAAGAACGAAGGCAGCTCATTTATTCATGCCCCAGAAGATGCTCACCTAACACTCTTCTGTGCATGAAGACACGAATGCACATATCATTTTCTAAGATGTGAATACTTAGACATTTGCTAAGCTTGTTAACTGCAATAGGAAACACTTCTAAATCTGAAAAATAGTTGATGTTTATAATAATGATACAATTAAAGATGTTTAATATATTCTCTGAAATAACATTAAATACTATATTGAATATAATTTGTATTATTCTTATTTGAAAATTGTATGGGATAGACACTCGTTAGTCAGAACACCACACATCCAGATCATGCCTGATAATTTGAGAATCCATATATTATTCTCTAGACAATAGGTTTTTAGATTATAACGTATTTATCTTAAATATGCTAACAAATGCTACACAAACATTGAAAAGCATGTAAGTCGTGAACCCAGAATCACTGCAGTTGGGGCCTTTTATAGGTACACACTTTTATAGTAGTAGTCTTAGTGTAAAGAGGTTTTAAATTGATGTTCTATAACAAAACTGTAGTGAAGATTTAAGTAAAAAAGTTTTGTCTGAGAGAGCTAGAGTTCCTATGATTATAACTGACCACTATAGCCTCTTGAGTTTGAAAATTATGCTTTATGTAATGATGTTAAAAGTTTGTTTTACTGCCTTTCCCAGCAGTAAGAAAATTCTGTCTTTTTTTTCTTTTTTTTTTTTTCCCCCAGACTTTGTGAGTCCGTAGCCTTTCTAAATTGACTCTGGACCAGCCATCCTGGAGCTTTGATTCCATGACATACATGTATCTACATGAGTTGTGAGTTGACACAGGAACCATAGTTCCATAACTATCTTTGAATTAATTAGTATACTCAATGGGTTTTTTTCTGAGAGATTTATATTAAGCCAATGGTGTGAAACTGATGACATTTTAGGATTATGAAAGTAAGGGTTTCTTCTTTTTTAATCAATAATAAAGTACAGAAATTTGTGAGTGATTGACTCATTACCAAAGTAAATTAAAACGAAATATGTCACTTTAGTCACTTAACAATTAAATATGCTCTCTGGAAGGGGTAGCCCTGTGGCTGGTATGCCATGAATTGTGCCTTAATGCATGTTCTATATGAACTTGGTGTGTGTGCCACGGTGGAAGACAGGTTGAAAAATGTCGATCTACATCTTGTTTTGAGAAGGCAGAGGGTAGAGGTGGCCTCCTCTCGAGGTGCTTCTTTACACATCCATTAAGCAAGGACTCCTGATCGCTCCCTTCTCGGATCACCCCAACTCCCTGCAAAAGGGAGTCCAGGATAAAGAACTGGACATGCAAACCTTTCTCCCCTTTCTGGGGATTTGTAATGCTTGCAGAGAGCCTGTGTTTTATTCTCTTGCCAGACATGGCATAAGCTTTGCGGTGAAAGGCTCTGTGACTCTGCAGGGGGAGCCCTGGAGTTGTGCAGGACTGCCCATTCCTTGGTGAGCAGGTCTGTCTTATTCTGGGTTAGATATTAGGTGGCTCTTACTGGTGCAAACTAAATCTGATATACTGAATCTCCATTTGCCTGGCTTGGCCTCTCAAGTGGCTCAGAAGTCAGGAGGGGGACGGGGAATATTATTTCATGATTCCCTCAAACCTCAACAAAAATTTGTGAAAATTGTATTTCAAAGTAAGCATGAGATAAACACCAAATTGGGATTTTTTTTTTTTCTAATTTTACCTATTTTTCAAGTCATGGAAATTCTGTTGGAAATGGATAATGTCAATCACAAGACAATATGTAAACACTTGTTCAGGTTGTCCAAAGACCTATCCCCTGGGAGTTGTGAAAGACCACAGTATTGACTCTAGATTTACTTAGAAGGAGAAAATGATGAACAAATCATATTCTCTGCCCACCCTGTTAACTTTCTCAAGAGTATAATTTACGTACAGTAAAATGTACCCTATATTGTAAGTTTACAGTTTGAGGAGTTTTAACAAATGTGAAGAACCACACAGTCACTATTACCATCAAGATGTAGAATATTTCCATCACCCCAAAGTTCTCTAATGCCCATTTGCCGTGAGTTCTCCTCCACCCCAACAACCAGCACTGTTCAACCACTGATTCCTTTCTGTGACTATGAATTAGATTTGACTCTTCTAGCATTTCAAATCATACAATATTTACTCTGTGCCTGACACTTTTGCTCGGCATAATACTTCTGAAATCCATCCATGTCGAGATTCATCTGTGCTATTATGTATATCAGCAATGGGTTTTATTTTTATTGCTGAGTATTATTCTGCTATATGGTTAAACCACAATTTATAGCTATTCCTGTATGTTGATGGGCATCTAGGTTGTTGATGAACATCTAAGTTTTGATCTCTCACGAATAAAGCTGCTATGTATATATGTCGCAGGTTTGTGTGTGTGGCAGTGTGTTTTCATTTCTCTTGGTGAAATACCTGGAGGTAGGATGGTTGAGTCTTATGGTTAAGTGTAGGTCTAACTTTCGAGGAAACAAACTTTTCCAAAGTATTTGTGTCATTTTGCATTCTGACAAGCAGTGTATCAGTTGCTCCATATCCTTGTCAATGCTTGATGTTGTCATTGTTTTTCATTTTAACCACTTGGGTGGATGTGTAGTAGATCTCACTGTGGTTTTAATATGCATTTCCCTGATGATGTTAAACATTTTTTCATATGCTTATGTGACATTTGTCTATATTTGGGGAAGTGCCTATTCAAATCTTTGGCCGATTTTTTATTTGGGTTATCTAATTATTGAGCTGTAAGATTTTTTTCTATATTTTGGATAAAAACTCTTTACAAGATATTTGTATTGTGAATATTTTGTCCCCATCTATGGTTTGCCTTTTTTTTTTTTTTTAAGAGTTTATTTATTTATTTGATAGAGGGAACACAAGCAGGGGGATGGGGAGAGGGGGAAGCAGGCTCTTCCCACTGAGCAGGGAGCCCAACTCAGGGCTCCATCCCAGGATCCTGGGATCAGGACCTGAGCCAAAAGCAGACTCTTAACCGACTTAAGCCACCCAGGTGCCCCACCTTTTTATTTCCTTGATGATAACTTCAGAAGAGCAGAATTTTAAAATTTTGATGAAGTTCAATTTATATTTATTTATATTTATATTATATATAAAGTCCAATTTATATATTAAATATTTAAATATTATATGTGTGTACATATATATATATATATATATATATATATATATATATATATATAAATGGTTGTGTCTTTTGTGTGCTGAGAAATCTGTGCTTACTCCAAGATCAGAAAGATTTTCTGTGTTTTCTCTAGAAGTTTTAGACTTTTAGCTTTTATAATTAGGTCTGTGATCCATTTGAAGTTAATTTTTATGTGTTGTACAAGGTAAAGGTCAAGGCTCATTTAAAAAATTATTTATTTATAATCTCTACACCTAACATGGGGCTCAAGCTCCTGACTCCAAGATCAAGATTTGCATGCTTTACTGACTGATTCAGTCTGGTGCCCTGAGGTTAATTTTTTTTTTAAATGTCCAATTAATTATTCAAGTACTATTTATTGAAAAAACTTTCCTGTGGTATACCTTGAAATCTTGAAAATCAGTTTACTGTGTCTTTGCAGGCTTGAGTTGTATATTCTGCTACACTGATCTATGTGTTTATTCTTACACCAATTTCACACTGTCTTAGTTACTGTGGCTTAAAAATTGTAGTCTTAAAAATCAGTGTGGTTTTTCTAATTTTATCCCCCCACCAATTGTGGAGCTAATCTAGTTTCTTTGCTCTTTCTTTTTTTAAAAAATTTTATTTTGTTTGTTTTTTTGCCCTTTTAGAATTTTAGAATTTTGGAATCAACTTGTCTCTATCTGCAAGTCTGCTGGGATTTTGATTTCTACAAATCAGTTTGGGAAAAATTAACGACTATATCATATATTTGAATTCATGATCATGGTATAACTGTCATTGTTTTAGGTATTTCATTTCTCTTAGTGATGCTTCTTGGTTTTCTGTGAATAGGTCTTGCCCATATGTTTGTTGTTTATCCTTAAATATTCCATATTTTTTGATGCTTTTATAGGGAATGTTTTTAAAATTTTATTTTCCAATTTGATACTATTACATAGAAATACAATAAATTTTTTTTTGTATTGAGCTTGTAACCTACCACCTTGATACTTCATTTATTAGTTGAATTAGCTTTTTGTAGATTCCTTACAATATTCTATCTATAATAAGTCTTTGTGCATAAAGACAGTTTTTCTTCCTTTTCATACTGCATGCCTTTTATTTCCATCTCTTGCCTTATTGCGCAGGCTAGAACCTCCAGGACAATGTTAAATAGAAGCGGTGAGAATGGACGTTCTTGCCTCATAATCTTTTGGTCTTTCATCATTAAGTATGATGACACCTGTAGTTTTTTTTATCCATGTCCTTTATTAAATTGAGGAAGTCCCTGGGCAATTAAATTTTGTTAAATGTAAATAAAAATGTATTTTCTGCATCTCTCAGAAGATCTTATAATTTTTCTTTTATCCTATTAATATGATGAATTACGTTTATTTTTTAAATGCCAAATCAGCTGCATTCTTAGATAAACCCTAAAGATCCTTTTAGATCTTTTTAAATTAATTTCATAATATTTTATTAAGGATCTTTAAGTCTATGTTCATGAAGAATATCAGTCTGTAATTCTCTTGTAGTTGTCGAATCAGGATAATGCTGAGTTCATTTGTAAAAATATTGAGTATTTCTACCTACTCTTTTCTCAAAGAGTTTCTGTAGATTTGGTATTTCTTTCAATAATGCTTAATAGAGGTAACAAGTGAAGTCACCTAGGCCTAGTGTTTTCTTTTGGGGAGGGTTTTAAATTAATTATAAGTTCAGTTTTAAAATAGCCACATTGTAGGTCTTGTCAGTTATGTCACATTGAGTAATAGTATGGTTTGCTTAAATCAGGATTCAAAAAAAGTCCATTTCATCTGTTTATATGTCTCTTCATTTTTTATTTTTTAAAAAGATTTTATTTATTTATTTGAGAGAGAGAGAGAACACAGGAGCAGGGTGGGGGGTGAGGGGGTAGAGGGGTAGAGGGAGTGGGAGAAGTGGACTCCTCGATGATCGAGGAGCCTGACATGGGGCTGGATCCCAGGACCCTGAGTTCACAACCTGAGCTGAAGGCAGAAGCTTAACTGACAGCCACCCAGGCGCTC